TGACTCAACTCTTGCTATGTGGTTAGACTTTACTGTAGCTACACGGTGTGACTCAACTCTAGCTACATGGTGAGACTTTACTGTAGCTACACGGTGTGACTTTACTGTAGCTAAACAATGTGACTCAACTCTAGCTACGTGGTGAGACTTTACTGTAGCTACACGGTGTGACTCAACTCTAGCTACATGGCGAGACTTTACTGTAGCTAAACAATGTGACTCAACTCTAGCTACGTAGTGTGACTTTACTGTAGCTAAACAATGTTACTCAACTCTAGCTACGTGGTGAGACTTTACTGTAGCTACACGGTGTGACTTTACTGTAGCTAAACAATGTGATTCAACTCTAGCTACGTGGCGAGACTTTACTGTAGCTACATAGAGTGACTCGACTCTTGCTATGTGGTTAGACTTTACTGTAGCTACCTAGAGTGACTCAACTCTTGCTATGTGGTTAGACTTGACTGTAGCTACATAGAGTGACTCAACTCTAGCTACATGGTGAGACTTTACTGTAGCTACACAGTGCGACTCAACTCTAGCTACGTGGTGAGACTTTACTGTAGCTACACGGTGCGACTCAACTCTAGCTACATGGTGAGACTTTACTGTAGCTACACAGTGCGACTCAACTCTAGCTACGTGGTGAGACTTTACTGTAGCTTACATAGAGTGACTCAACTCTAGCTATGTGGTTAGACTTTACTGTAGCTACATGGTGTGACTCGACTCTAGCTACGTAGTGTGACTTTACTGTAGCTAAACAATGTGACTCAACTCTAGCTACGTGGTGAGACTTTACTGTAGCTACACGGTGCGACTCAACTCTAGCTACGTGGCGAGACTTTACTGTAGCTACACAGTGCGACTCAACTGTAGCTACGTGGTGAGACTTTACTGTAGCTTACATAGAGTGACTCAACTCTAGCTATGTGGTTGGACTTTACTGTAGCTACACGGTGTGACTCGACTCTAGCTACATGGTGAGACTTTACTGTAGCTACACGGTGTGACTCGACTCTAGCTACGTAGTGTGACTTTACTGTAGCTAAACAATGTGACTCAACTCTAGCTACGTGGTGAGACTTTACTGTAACTAAACAATGTGACTCAACTCTAGCTATGTGGTGAGACTTTACTGTAGCTACACAGTGACTCAAATCTAGCTACGAATTGTGACTAAACTGTAGCTACACGGTGTGACTCAACCAGAACTACATGGTGTGACTCAACTTTCATGTTATACAGAACCTGGGACCACATAAAAATCAGCATATAACGTAAGATAAAAAAAAATACAAATACAAATCTTTTACACCACTAAAAGATGTTAAAGAATTTGACAATTTCCTGAATATTCATCACTACATCTTGCAGAGAAAAATGAGTCTCAGTTTCAAATCTCAGTAATAGTAATTCACCTATTAGATAAAAAGAATAAACTGGTTTTTATAGATCCATTGATGTTTCAATAAACAGCTCAATTAGATGTGTTAACACATTAAATGATTTGTACCGAGTCTGCCTCATAACCTTAACACAGATGTGCACTATAAACTTAAAACAAAATAATCAATACAAAAAGCACTGTAAGATTATGCGGTTAATACATATATACTGTACAGGTTCGATAGAAACAGTAACCCGACTCCTCTACCAAATCATCTGTTGATTATATTTGTTCAAATTTACACAAACTCTCCCAAACAGTTAGACTGTATTAAATATCTATATTTATACATTGAACCAAAACAAAATGTAAACATATTCTATGATATCAAACAGTGTCATTCCCCTTTAAAAGTTTTTGATAAATAATCAATGGTGGTTTAAAAATATTGTTGCAAAGTTTAACACCAAGACCAATGCTTATAATGAAATATTTGAGTGTAAAATCTCTACAATGATTAACACTTAGTACGGGTTTCTACACACTACGTTTATTTACATTGTAAGCACACACAAATGTATAGGAGACATAGCACAGTTACCACATACATGTATGTCAGTAGCAAATCACATATATATACATTTGTATAATTATCATTAAACTGGTATTCAAATACCCACAAAAACAGATACCAGGCAATAACATCACATTTCTATACATGTATTATTAATTGTTCATGTTATTTATACAAAAAGACAAAATCTACACTATTTCAAAACATATACCCCTGTGTTATAACACAGGGCTAGCATATATACAAACAACTTTACATTCACATAGCACTTTGGATTAAAGATTGCGATGAGATTACATGTAATTAAGGTGATATGCTACTTTAGGCATCATTTCCTGTGATTTGTATGATTATCTCCCTTACTACAAAAAGTTAGCATTAACAAATCCCATCCCTTACACAATAAGAAAAGTTTACTTATTTCAGATATAATATTAAAACTTAAATAATATGCAATTTATTTTTCAATATAAAGGTAGAATTCATGTTTTTTTTTGTAAATTTATTAAAGAGTACCGGGGTAATTCAAGAGGTGAATAATTTAAGTTACATTTATCCTCAACCCTTTCACCACTGTAGACCAGAATGGACTCATCCAGATTACTGTATGGTAGAATCTAATAAAGTTACCTAGAGGTGAAAGGGCTAATGAAAGAGAGTTATGTCTATAGAGTTGCACTAGAGCTTGTTCTATTGACAACAATATTTAATGACATTACAATCGGAAAGGATGAGACAACCTAGCTAAGTGAGCAAAGATTAGCCAAAGCTTGGGAGTAAAGCATCTAACCAGTCTCATTCTGGAATGTACTTCAAATGCAGACCATGGCCAGCACAACATTAGGATGCATGGACAAATTTTGAATTAACTTGTAGGCATTCTCTAAAATAAAGTGTCAATTCTGCATGCTCAATACAAGCACATTTTGACCGATATGCTAATCATCCTTTTTGGGAAGCACCAGTCTGACAGGGGTTTGATCAAACAGCTTAGGGGCCTGATGCCCAGGGCTAGTCAAGTTTTTGTAACGGTTGGTGAAAATGTTCACAAATTACCTTTAACGCATTCACCCCTGACATTTCATAATGACCTTTTCCAACCTTCGAATGGGAAGAGTTCAAATGTGCTTTCTGGGCCCGGGGTGAATGAGTTCAAATATAAGTTGGGGTAGTATTATTTGTCAAATCTGTCTGCAGGCAAATACATGTACTCTGAATATGAAACTGAACACCCCTGCAGCTAAAGGTAAAAAATAAATTCATCTGTGGATATGTAAGGGAGAATACTACATGGTTTCCAGTTGTCAAACTATAGTCACACTGGTAAAGGGACGTCCCTAGGACAGAAGAAGGATAGAGATCAGTGTACAGATAGAAAAGGGACAAAAATGGGGAGAATCTTAACTACAGGGAAAATACCTCAAGCTCAATATAAGTAAAACTTATCATTAACTATCATGAATCCAATATACTTCATAATAATACCAAATATCAATTGTTATTTGGAACAATTAACGCGAAAATTTGACACAGAAGATCTTTGCAAAACAAAATTTAAAAACATTATAACAAAAACACATCAATCATCATACAATTGCCCTTTTTTTTTAGAAGATTCTAATGTACAAGCTAATGCAGCCTTGTACATTCTGCACAAGCTATCACACTAGAGCTTCTTCTCAACAACCTCGCACTTCTACAAATATCACAGCCATTCAGTAAGTGTTCTTAACATTCATTCACAAGTGAAAAATAGTCGACAGGTACAGACAGAAATAAACTATGGTTATACTGAGCAGGTAAGTGTTTTTCAATCCAACCATATTATCATAATATTTCAAGGTTTTACATCAGTGTCAGACTTGGCTAACACTTAATAATGCCAAGGCCAAGTAACAAAAAATATGTCTTTGTATCATCTTTTGGATTATTTTTTAATCACAATAAAGGCCCTTTCAGAAATCCTGTTACACAGGTTAGACAAAATACATAACCACCATAGCTAGCTAAACGACATAATTTGTATGGACGGTCAGGAATCCACAAGCTTTTATGGTCGATGAATATACTATTTTGTTCAAAAATAATTTCCCCACTTCCCCCAAAATGTTTAACAAGCTAGTTTACATTTATCATCTGCATTAATTATTGAAAGGGCCTTTACAAACCAATCAGAAACTGGTATTAAAATTTCTTAAGGTGATGACATATAAACAAAAAAAGACGATTATTAACAGTAATAAAACAATCTTTAAGAGTATTTAAACAATACACAGGACACACAGTGTCATGATATTTCAAGTGATTTGTTATGTAATGTATGGAAAGGCGGTGCAACATCCTTCATGCAAAGTGCTTCATGCTACATGCTTTATGCGAAACGTGTTAGGTGTGTTTGCATTTCGCAAGACGCATGTTCGCATGCAGAATGTTGCATGAAGCACTTTCACATGAGGCATGTCATACTGGCGTTCCACAGTAATGTGACTTTGATCAAGTTAGAATCACAGTATCCGTTCCTGTGGCAGAAATTGATCAGGTAGAAAGTTCAAAGTTCAACTTTCTGTAAGTGAAATGCCTCATATGAATATTGATTAATTAATTATGCATCTATAAGGAAAAAAAATCTCACAATTTCAATGTCAAGGCACATATATGGGTAGCAACTTTCCCCAATAATCTCCCAGTGTCTACAGGAAATTTTACATTGTGTCTTAGGCATTTATCAACACTATGGCAACAGGTTCAGCAAAACATATACATACAAAATATTCACTCCATAAATGTGAACGCACCCTTCCTTCATCTTCAACACTTCAAAAGCAGCTAGTTTAGCACATGTAATGGTATTGGGTTGTGATCATTGTCTATGAAATTTATTTTTTTACAATGTATTGCTTTTAGTAGCACCAACAGTACACATTCTACAAAACCACTGTCAAGTTGTCAAGTATTTCTCCTTACATCTTCTTGTGCATACCTGTATACATGTTTACATCAGTGACAAAAGCACCAACCTGAGTGAATTAGTCAGACATGGAATGGTTCTATCAACTGCCTGGGGAATTATATTATTTATTACGACCCATGAAAAATCATAGGGGGAGGGGGGNNNGGGGGGGCAATGATTGTAACAAAAGAGAAAGCAGAATGTGGGGGAAGGGAGATTCTAACAAATGAGAAAGCAGAATTCATTTTGGTGGATGTGGGGTGGGGTGAGGTGGTTTTAACTACATGTGAGAAAACGATAGGTTCCAGGCTAAATGGACTAACATAAGCAACACTCACAAAGGCAGATGTGTGGGAGGGAAATGTGATTGTGTAATGTCTTTTTTTTCAAAATTCTGCAATAGGGTATACTAGACAGCTGTTTTTCTTTGATAATTTTCACCGTTGGAGTAGGGTGTGGACAATAACTGAAATATGGGCAATGAATAGAACCGTTATAGTAATTATGTAGATATAGCATTGCTGCATGGACAACGTACAACATATAACTGTATATCAGGAACACTTTTAGCACAGTCAAATTTTCACCGTTCAAAGGCAAAATCTATGTTCGCCCAATATCAAATCTGCCCTTCACATCTTATTACTCTGTTATAGATTTGATGTATAATGTTGTTGACAAATGTTTGCTGTTATTATAAATTTGCTCTCATTACTGATTGCGAAAAATTGAACTGCAGTGAAAATATCCCCGTATACAGTATATAGATGTTTAGAGGGTACCCTTCTCCCATCTCACACAGTAATTTAAACAAAAATACGGAGATCAGCAACATTCCCGTTCCTAATGGTAACGAGTGTGACAACCTACCTAAGGCACCAATTGTAACATTTTCCGAGACACTGTTTTCCTGAGATTTTAACATTTAACACACTTTTTTACTTACTTTAAAGAAATACATTTGTATGTCAATACTCGTTCAGATTTCATTCCATTCAGTTAGAAACTTAAAGTTTACTAAAATCAAACAGCTAAAACTGTTACCACTTTCTTTCACTTATCTAACAAAGTAAGAAAATCATTATCCTCTCGAATTTATCTTAGGACTCCTGAGCAGTTATATAGCAGATACAATATAATATTTACCCATATGTTGGTAAATAAGGACAGAGATTATTGTGATTCATGATCACTAATTAAAACAAAAATACTATCAGGTATATCTCTGATATTTTATAAGCAGTGTATTGTTACTAGTGTGTACTTGAATATGGTTAATTCACTGCGGTCACGAGTCATATTTTTTCCTAAAGCATAATTTATCTATATTTCCTTTGACTACCAAAATTAACCTTGACTTCTCTGTATGAGACATTTATAACCTGAGAGAAACAGGCCCTACAGATGGAGCATATCAGACATATTGAGGAGCAACCTTGAGCCCAGGGTCCTTGCTACGATCGTACGAGTCAACATTCCACTCCGTGTTGTGCACTATGAACTTCATGCATAGTTTGTAGACTGTGTGCTTGGCCTTTATTTCTACTGTCATTGCGATGAAGAAAGCCACGAAAAACATGACACCACACGCCAGGGTGATGATTTCCTCCAGCGTTAGCTCCACCTTGTTCTTGGGAAACTTGGTTATCTGCCCTTTGTCCGATAAAAAGCACATCACTGTAGCTATTGCACAGCCAATCATTATGAGGAGATTCAGAAAGAATATGATATGGAGTATCTTGTCTCTTGTGTTCACTTTTGGCCACCTCCAGTTCTTGAACTAGAAAATAAAAGAGTGATCATGATAATACATTTTATTTAGGCAGTATTTATGGAATTGTAAGAGTATTTCCAATTTCCATAACAAATTTCAGAGTTTTGGTCATTTTGCATACCGGTACCAAAACAACTGGTTTCACAGTTTGTCTACTTTTATACATCTGTGTCTGTAGTGTTATGCTGAGAACAATGTTTTTAATGTACACCATTGAATGTATTTATAATTATAAACATTATACATCCCATGCATGAAACTTAGGAATATTTATTCAGATAAATTTGAACAAAGTCTTTTTAAAATTATTGGTTTAGATTCATCATGACTAAGTCTACCTACAAGATGTCAAAGGATGAAAAATATTTTCTTGTAAAAATGTTATTAAAAGTAAGTAAACTCTAAGACATGCTGACATATATTTTCACAAAAAAGAAACACCATACAGGTTTATATGTACAGTTAATAACACTTTTACCAAAAAATATTTTTCATCCTTTGACATCTTGTAAGTAGACTTAGTCATGATGAATCTAACCCAATGATTTTAAAAAGCATACAAATTGATATTAATTATATTAATAAACAGCTAATCATGTGAACCTCTTTCCTCACACTAAAATATTCAGTACACATGTACCAGGTATTTGGTATTGTCAGCCGCCAACCGCATTAAAATAGTTTTTGGGTTTTTTTACTATCTCACTTGATAAGTGCATCATGGCTAAACACATGAGATTGCATAATATTTCAGACAAGAAACTGGGTTCTAAGCTCGTATTTGCATAAAACTGACCCACATTCTCTCAAAAGTGTACTTGACCACAGCTAATCCTCTCACAGATGTAATACATCTCTATTGTAATGAAGCTTAACCGTGATTTTTAAACCTAGCTTTTACACCAGCCTGTTCCGACATGAATAGGGAATATATCGCATTATTTTATGGAAATTGTGAAGATGATCCTGACTTTCCTTCAGTTTGGGAAAATAAGGCACTTTTTAGCTAGGAGAAACAGCCTGTATTCGGCTGTAAAGCTAGGTAAATTAAATCACTGCTTCAATTTGATTAAGAGTATCAATTTTAAATTCAGGTACATGTATCTGATCAGTGCCAGAGGGAATGTTACAGTAGAATACATAAAATGTCAAGAATAATAGACACTTTCATGTGTTTGTAAAAGATACCACCAGAGAAATACTCATCCAGGGAGTTACAAATTGAAGTAAAACAGCTCTGCTCAGCTTCACTCCCATCAAGATGGAAAAATTTACCGGGAGGCCTAGGGGTATCATGTATACGTGTACCTATCCTTAAATTACATATAAACATACAAATGAGTTTTTCTCCCAAATTACATTTTATATAAGGACTGTTCAGCTGTCAAATCTAGTTTACCTTGAAGCGCTTGTGTCTGTGAAACTGGTAGTGGCAGAGTTCACAACGCGGCTGCTTCTTCGTCTTCCTGGTCGATATATCGATCCACCTCTGCAACAGAATTGAAAAAGTTATTAACCAGTGTAAGGTCAAGGTCAAATCATAGTCAAATCATACTGGACTAGCTGGTACACATACATGTACAAATACAGCCAAAGTGTTGGTCAAGGTCACATCAGTGTTTGATAATACTGTTCATATATACCTGTGCATATTGATTATATATCCAGTCAAAGTATGGTCGCACTTATCCTGGTATAGTTCATCAATGCAAAAGAATTTATAAGAATTTCATCATTCTGTATGATTTTCCCATATAAACACACACTGACCAACTTAAATTACTTAGTTTTTATTAAGGTTTTGCTAAGAAAATGATATGTACCCATGCCAGTATAGAGGCTTTATGCAGGTAGCATGTTTATTTGTATCTACTATCTGTCTCAATTGAGTGTTCAGTCTGGGCCATATGCCAGATCAAATATAATAGGTCTCACGGAGTGACAAGTCAGGGCCAGACCAACCATATATATATACTATATAAATACGTCTCACAGAAGTGACCACACTTGTTAAGGGCCATAACATGTCCACATGTAAAGTATGTACATGTACTAATTTATATCCTTAGAGACCAGTTCATGTCTATAGTACAGTGGTATAAAATGCAAGATCAAGCAACCAACAGGGTTAGGTCGTATAATGTAAAGTGTATGTAATGCTAGAACTCATGAGTGACCTACATAATGAAGCACACTAGTAATACATACACTTTTCATTTCCACTGTACAGACTTTGTATAAACCTACCTACCAAAAAGTATATGCAAATTAAACTTCGAATCAGTTAGCCCAGTTTCCTCTGGCCATGACATCAGACTTCGACACGTCTGCCGGTAGTCAGACATCTATATATCTGTTGAAATATGTAAGTCTGGTGTCAGGGTCAGAGGAAACACGGGATAAGAATCAGTGTGATATATATATATAATGCACCATGATTTTTTAACTGGTGTACTGCACAAACATGTACAGTATTGATTATGTGTGGGGATGTTTTGAGGGAGTAGAATACTATTTGGTGACATATTATTCACTGCATGGTTATAAGATTATAACCAGCCTAATAATATCATATCCGTGATAATGATCCGGTAAGGATACATTGAAAGGATTGGGCTAGATGTATCCTCCAATTCAAGCACTAATTATATAGTGAGCAGGATAGTGACCCTGTGATACTATAAATAGCTACAGTCAAGGGGTCAGATTAACCTATTTAATCCTGGCACATTCCCATAACTTTAAGCTTGTTGTAGTAGTGGTAGATACCTACCAGTTCATATATAAACCTACAAATATGTATTTATCATGTTACTACAGCCTTGGGGCATATATACATATATATATTCTCTATTATACAGAGAATCTCAATTGACAACATTTGTTATTGACATCCCTAGATCAATTTTAGCAATTCATGATGAAATAGCATAGGAGATACATGTGGATATGTTCCAAATAAGCTTAAAGGAAGAAAACAGAATGTGAAATGCAAACCTATTGTCGTCTTTTGTAGTACTGGTAGGGGACTAAGTAACTGTTTTTGATAAATTAAACATTCTGCATCAACTCGAGGTCCTAAACAGACGTCCTGCCTATTTTGATTTGCTGTACATGTAGAACATACTGAAGCTGTTTAATTACCTCAGCTGATCATGATCAGCATCCCTAATCTTACTAACTAAACAATAACTGGATCCTTACAAGGCCTACATATGTATCAGTTGTGGAAATGCCATAACACTAACAGCAATTAATGCCTGTTGTTGTCAATATGTGTGTTACCCAGGGCTGCAGCAGGCTGAGGAGGAGCCAGATGTTAGGATTCCAGAGTGAAGGCTAATACTGTACTGAAGCTAACACACCCACTCTCTACTCTCGTACTGTACCTAGTCCTTGTCTGCCGGCTGACCGATTTATGTACCGAGCCTCTCAACACAAAACATTTCAGCTATTTTTAAAACACCATAACATGTTCCCATTCAACTTTACATATACATCTAGTACAACATAGTTAAATGTGTATATCTATATTATATATGTTTATATTATCTACTTATATCTATATTATATATATGTTTATCTACTTGTATCTATACTATATATATGTTTATATTATCTACTTGTATCTATATTATACATATGTTTATATTATCTACTTGTATTTATATTATATATATATGTTTTATATTATATATATGTTTATCTACTTGTATCTATATTATATATATGTTTATATTATCTACTTGTATCTATATTATATATATGTTTATATTATCTACTTGTATTTATATTATATATATATGTTTTATATTATATATATGTTTATCTACTTGTATCTATATTATATATATGTTTATATTATCTACTTGTATCTATATTATATATATGTTTATATTATCTACTTGTATTTATATTATATATATATATGTTTATATTATCTCCTTGTATTTATTCATATATATATGTTTATCTACTTATATCTATATTATATATATATGTTTATCTACTTATATCTATATTATATATGATTATCTAATTTGAAACAAGTATTCTTGAAAGACTAATTGAAAAGAGACAATAGATAATTAAACAGTACTTATACATGTACACTGATATGTATACATCATTCTCAGTAAAGGTTCTGTGAAGCTGCTGGTTTATAGAAGTGGAGAACCAGTGATAAACTATATAGTACATAACTGTGGCCAAGGAATCCTAAGTGTAGCCATTTATTATGACTACATCCGACATGCAAACATGCCACATATCGTATCACATACAGGTTTTTAGTGCCGTTGTTTACTATATGTATCGCTGCTATTTCCAGACCTACGTGACCACAATTCACCTTCGTGTGCTTTAATATATCGATATATATCATTGGTCCTGTAATACAAACACATGTATACATCCGTACCACTGATATTATACATAACCTTGTCAACCAAAAATATACCACAAGGCACATTTCTGTCAGGGCTAGCAATATTTACTACGAAAATGCAGGGTGCCATGCAGGGCTAGTAAAAAATTTACAAGATATGCCTGCTGGTTGGTACTTTTCTAGTGTAAACATGATTTTATGCATCCCTGCATATCTATTTAACCAAACAGTTATATATATCCTACATTTACAATGACTTTGTAAACCAAACACTGTTGTATCTTGATCAATTGACCATTTTTGAAGCCATATAGCTAGGTATATGACTACATTTATATATCTAATGACTAAGTACATGGTCCACAGCTATTTCTATAATTCTCAATATTTATATACATATGTTAATGAGTAAAATAACAATTATACATTCTCAATCAGATCTCCAATACAACTTTTACATGTGCATTGTGTAAGGATTGTATACAACTTCAAGCTTCTCCATACACAGTTGTAATAATAAACACTGAGGCCAAGTTAAGTCTATAGAGCAATCCTAAACCAGCTGTGTATATGATATTTATATGTAATCTTGGCCGACAGCCAAACACAGGACAGTATACTTAAAAATCTCTGTGTAAGTAGAAGGAGCAGTGTCTGAGAAAAAAACAGATGTTGCCCCTTATACTTAAGAATCCAGTTTTAAACTATATACATGTACATTACACTAATCTTAAATTTTAATCCAAGTACTCATGTCACACTTCTAATTCTATTGAAAGGAAAAATGTCCAATCACTGTAATTCATAAACACCTGTAAACAATCTAATACCAGTGATATGCAATACCTGTATACAATCTAATACCAGAAACATACAATACCTGTATACTGTCTAATACCTGTATACTGTCTAATACCTGTATACTGTCTAATACCTGTGATACACAATACCTGTATACTGTCTAATACCAGTGATACACAACACCTGTATACTGTCTAATACCAGTGAAACACAATACCTGTATACTGTCTAATACCTGTGATACACAATACCTGTATACTGTCTAATACCAGTGATACACAACACCTGTACACTGTCTAATACCAGTGATACACAATACCTGTATACTGTCTAATACCAGTGATACACAATACCTGTATACTGTCTAATACCTGTGATACACAATACCTGTACACTGTCTAATACCAGTGATACACAATACCTGTATACTGTCTAATACATGTGATACACAATACCTGTATACTATCTCATTATTTCAAACTTTCAATAAAAAAATATTTCACTTTCAAAACAAATTGTTATCAAGCCTGACCAAATTTCATGCCTATCCATGCTACACTGTACATGAAACACTGGAATTTTTACAGATTACTGCTGAAGGCCAAAACCTGGCTGCATTGTTGTGATGGGTACATACAGTTGTTTTCGATACCTTTTCTGACATTTTGTCAGGATAGTTTAATGGATGATTTTAAAGTTAAATTTTGACGTGTTGCATTCTTGATAAATTGAATCATGTATAAAAATAGAGTAAAATGTTACATGTTTTATTAATTACAGTAGATATTATTATAGTGATTGTATTAAAACAATTCAACAATGCATTTTGTACCATAATTTATTAATTAACATCACTAATAACCTTGTTTTGTCAAATACTAATTTTCTCACTTTTTCTCTCAAAACACCCTGATGAAGATTTTTTGTACAAGTAATTTCAAATATTTTAAGTGACTCCCAAAACTATGTGAAGTACCATGGTATATTTTGTGATTGATGACTTGTACTGTATCCAACAGTAAGCCATATCTGGTAATATTAAAGCACACCCATATCTATTACAGTTCAGCAGAAATGTAAACAAATGATATTTCATTGTCCTGTAATAAGCCATCCCATATCTATTACAGTTCAGCAGAAATGTAAACAAAAGATATTTCATTGTCCTGTAATAAGCCCATCCATATCTATTAAAGTTCAGCAGAAATGTAAACAAAAGATATTTCATTGTCCTGTAATAAGCCCACCCATGTCTATTACAGTTGAGCAGAAATGGAAACAAATGATATTTTATTGTCCTGTAATAAGCCCACCCATATCTATTACAGTTCAGCAGATATGTAAACAAATGATATTTCATTGTCCTGTAATAAGCCCAACCGCCAACTTTGAGTCAGAAACTAAGTGTTGGCCCCTGAGCTTATCACAGACTAATATGATAATTACCTTCAAACATGTGTAATGGATGAAGCCTAGTGTTCCAGAACATCTACAAGGAGAGAAGAGCGGATCGGCTATGTCTCCGGGTAGTTGACAGATCCTGCAAATTGGCAGAAGGTCTGTCCCTGTGACGGATGCTTCTCTGGAGTAGAACAACTTTTTCTGAGGTAAGGGTGTAAGGTTGGCACTGCTCATGCTTATAGTGCCGATAGTGTGGATACTCGCAACAGTCAAGTTTGAGCTTGCTACCTGAGCAAGGTTCAACACATTGAAATCAGGTTCCTCCATTTCTTCTGTATTTGTCTTCATGAATAACACATTCCTGAAAGTACACAAGTTTTGTATGCAAGTTTACCTGGCTTTGTAACAACGTTAACTAATTATATAACAGTGAGCATGTACTGACAGTCATATGACTACAAATTTCATTGATAAACAATATATTACACAATCATAAATTTTAAAACTATTTTAAACAGTCTGGCAAACGCTGCCACGTATCGGAACAGTGCCTTCTATCACACCTCCATGGATTCTATTGCTTGAAGATGCTCTGGACTTCATTGCTGACCGCATATCAATTGGTAGGTCAAAATGTTATATTGTATCCTCAAAATCAGACCAGACTAGATTCACTTTCGTGATGCATATACATACCAACTCAGTGGTAAAGCAGATTTGAGATGGTGACTTCCAGATGAGTTCAAGTCCGATTTATAACGAGAATAATGTTGAAAAATTTCCTTTTTTAAACAAAATGTCAGACTTGAACTAGCAAGAGGTCAGTCACACCTGAAGTCACTCAGGACGAAACACAGCAGCTAGATGATGTATTTGTATGCATTCCTGTATAGCATAACCTGTAATACAGCACACCATATGGCCTTTATATGGGGAAATAAAACAGTAACCTGGTACAATATATCAATATATACTATTAAATGCAGGCATTGGATTGGTCTAGTCTTAAATGTACCAGCAGCACCAGTGGCAGATCCAGACAGGGCCTGCAGGCCACGCCACCGTCAGCCCTGGAAATTCACGTTTTTCATAATTAAAGTGATAATATGCATATACATGTACATGCATTGGTGTTGAAAATGAAATTCTTCAGTGTAATGGGCCTTTCCTTTCTGAAATCCTGGATACACGGCAAACTACTATACTTTTAGGAAAATACAATATCATACACATATATATGTTAAGTAAGCACTGTACAAATGATAACAAAAATCTAGGTCAGCATTTTATTATTAAATGGGAATATATATAACGGTAAAAATTGTTAAATGTCAATGCGATTGTAAAAATGCAAATAAAACAAAACACTGAAGATTTGATCTCCTAAGTAATTTTGTCCATTTTTAGGCTTTTCAGGCGATTATTCTCCCGAAAAGCCCCAAGATGGGCAAAAGCACTAGCAATATTTAGTCTTCTGTGTTTATAGGCCTATATATAGCTAGGACAAATGGCCATAGTACTAGTCTTCTGATTGGTAAGAATTTATTTTACATTCACATGCACTATAGATATAAAATTGTGCTGTTAAATACAAAATAGGCCCAATAGAAATATGTACCATATATATATAGGTCCCAGGTTCAAACCCTGACCTGGCCAATGCTCCAGGGGTTAGAGATTTGGCTACCAAGTTATTATAAATATACTTACAGAATGTGTAACATTCTAGGCTGTTGTGTGTCTTATGATTAAGGTTCAAAGACCTTGTTGAAGGGAGGACTGTACAGAAATGGACTTGGATCAATTGCCAGCTCTGGTGGTTATATTAAGAGCTGGCACCTAGCGACATAAAAAGCTTTTATGAAATGAAAAAATCTCCCAAGTTTTGATGAAAGGAAAACTTAACTGTGACATACAATTTATCAACATGCATTTTCTAAACAGAAAAACAAATTTACAAATCAGCTTCATGTTGCTGTACATTTTTCGTGCATTGTCCCCCAATTGCAAGAAGATCAGCTCTCATTAATTTATCTACCATTCTAGTCTGATCTGTGCGACATTGATGCCAACTTGGACTCCTACATATTGTCGGTGTTTTTACATCTTACATGTAGTATAATTCACACTACCTTTAGTTTTTTATCAAACAATACCATAATTATCACTGAGACAATTAACATGGGATTTGAGAATGTAAAAGAGTGCATGACCCCAATTATAACATGAATTCTAGGTCATGACACTATCAATATTCTCACATACAGTGACGTGCCATAAGTCTTATACATAAAGATTGAAAACTACATTAATTTGTTACCTTGTCATCATAATTAAGTGTAACTTGATGACCTATATAATATATATCATTCTTTTCATTTTAGCTTTAATTTGTGACTCATTAAAACAAATATAACAACTGCACTGGCTACGGTTAGGTAACGTTGTTTCGTCCCAAATCCCGTTCGCCCTAAGGGTTGTTTCGCCCCAAAACCTGTTCGCCCTAAGGGTTGTTTCGCCCTAAAAAAAAAAAAATCTTTAAGTCATAAATATCATGTTAAAAGTTAAAAAAAAAAATTATCTTTCTCTTGAATCCAGATATAATATACATATAATTAGGTGCCGGAAGATAAAGAACGAACCTGTACATACTAATATCCGGAATATACTGCACATTACAACCAGTAATGTTGTTCTTTATAAAATGCACCTGTACATGTTTTAACGTTATGGATATGTAACGAAATTAAATTAATTTCTCTAAGTACATAGATACGTAAAATATATAGATAAGATATGGACATATAATGAAACTAAATTAGTTTCTAATTTTTTAATTAATATGCATATAAAAAATGTATTGGTCGGTACTATCAAAACTTCTCAAAATGATCTCCAATTAGCAAAAAACAACACGGACGTGCGCCGAAATCAAGTAAAGAAAACATCGTCATACGGCGACGATTATGTGTACACTTGACTAAATGTGTTAACACGGAAAAATAATATTGTTGTATACCCCGCAATGTTATTAAAATTACACCATTTTTGTTTCATTTCATAATGTAATCCGATTTTTGCTTTACAATGTACACATCAACACAAAACACATATTTTTTTTAATAAAACTGATTTTAATAATATGAAAGACTAAGAAGACTTACTTTGTGACTTAAAACAAATAAGAATGAAAAGAAAATACCCAACAATGTTTCGCCCTAAAATTTTTGTTTTAGGGCGAAACAACCTAGGGCGAACGGGATTTGAGGCGAAACAACCCGGAACCCTATGGTTAGAGCATCTGTCTAAGGGTTTTGATGTCATCAGTTTTTTGTACATCATAATAAAACTTGTCAGGAGTTCAAAGCCCTGGCATGCCAGTTCGATCCTGATCTTGACTCTCGAATGCATATAGTAGCAGAGTCATGAAACGCAAGATAAAATACTAATCTAGATTGGTCAGTATGCTAAAATATACAGTACGCCTATTGCAATATAGGTTAGTATAAATACAATGTAAGCTTACTGTTTTAGTAAAAACCGTGATGACGGTGTAACCATATAGGCCGACTGCAACCAGTGTTTTTGTCATTTATATTTTACGATTTGCATGCATATATGACAACAATAACCTTCTAATACACAAAGAGGGCCAATCTCATGATATTTCCTTATTATTTTTATGAATCAAGTTTGCAATGCTAAATAAATCGGTACGGAATGTCTCACAAAGCACAATGTTTACGTTTTACAGGGGCCATTACTGTATGCAAAAACGCAGTTTGTTAAATTATACAAAGAATCTTTGTCTCAAACAAAACTAACGTGTTTATTCACATGTTTACACAAGATAATATAACAATGTTAATGTTTATTTCAACAAGAATACATGAATTAGCTATTCTATGACCACAGTATTAGATTGTTTGCTCAAAATTCAAGTGGTGACCTCGAAAAATCAGCTGTTCGCGATCGGCAGCTGATTGTGCAAGGCTCAGCTCTGCCACCAGTTACAATTCAAAATGTGACAATTGGGCGAAAAAATCTGTTCATAAGGGGGCTTGTCTATAAGCGTAGGTCTCATCTATCTGTGATACGGTGTGACAGTGTGTATGCAACTGCTTACCTTGAATGAGATATAACAATCCGACGCGATCCAGTCCCGTCGACTTTCAGCTGTCACCAGTTTTGGCCGGTTTATATTTGGTCACGTGATCTATGTGTTTACATGCGCTGATCCATCGAAACTGTGGACCGTCTCAAAAAAGGAAATTAGGATAAGTTTGTTTTTTCATTATCGATTGTTTGTGGCTTCTGTCTCACATGAATAATCCCTTGAAATTGTCTTTAACATGTTATGAAGATTACAACTTCATTTATTTTAGTTAAGACCTGTAATCTAAAGTTAGTATATTTTATATGCCGTGATGGTATACATTTTATGCACGCGTTACCTCCCCTGAATAACAATTCCGTTTTCCAGCTACATCTGCATCATGCTAGATTAGCACCATGTTGTCTGAATTTTAATCCTCGTTAAATGCATTAAACGACATTATACGCTCAGCCCATTAATATGGATTATAGAATAAGCAAAATACAGAATAGCTAAGAAGTATGAGTCATGAACTGACGTAAGATTTCAAAATATCTGGTGTGATGCAATTGGCCTATATTAGTCAACTTAATTATAGTTATTAACGAACTATGAAGTAATGCTTTTAACTCATCGTTGTCGACATCATAAGCAAAGAATTATAATTATAACTGATTGACGTACGTCTTTCCGAGACACTTTGTTATGGCAAGCCAAGTTGTCATGTATTCATGGAGCAATGTTGATCCAGTACTTATCCAAATTATATAAGATATCTTATTTAAAGTTTATGAGATATATTATATCTTGTATAAGATGTCTTATATACTTTATAAGATGAGATATCATATATAGGATATATAATAAAGAAAAGTTTATAAGATATATTATAAAGTATATTAGATATAAGATATCTTATAAAGTATATTAGATATAAAATATCTTATATAATTTGGTTAAGTACTGGATCAACATTGCTCCATGAATAAATGACAACTTGGCTTGCCATACGTTAAGTGTTCTAGCGTTGGAATACATAAAAAGAAAGACATTTCATTTTCCAATGTAAACTTTATGTCAAAGTTGCCGAGGAATCTTAAATTATAGTTGCTTAATTACAGTCTTTTGGTTGGTTTGCAGTTTTCTATAAAGGTGGACGTACAATGATTAGCTGTGCGAGAATTTTTAAATGACAGCTATTTCAGCAGTTTAAGAGTCGAGTCAAATAACATCTTTAATAACTGTTTAACGGTTATGGAAATACATTTTGGACTTCTATCATAAAACAAAATCTTCTCAGGAAATCAAGAGTCAAATAACATCTTTATAAACTGTTATATTTGCTGTTTTAACGCGGGTTATGGAAATATAGATTGGACTTCTATCATCAAAAACTCTCCTAATGAAATCAAAATGAGGGTTATCTACGCTATTTATACCGATATTACATATATAATTTAACACACACTATGCACTGAGTTGTGTATACAATTAACCTTTCAAGCTTCTATGCAAATAAAAAATTAAAAGAAAGTTTGTTTCCAACATCACCGAGTATAGTTGCTTGGACGAAACTACAGACAGTACACCGTACGTATATAATATATGCATACCGTGTTAATCTCGGTACATCCCTTAAATACAATGGAAACTTACCTGCTGCAGAGTCCCGGCTTAGATTTCGTACTGACTACAACCACTGCAGACGGGTCTGCGTTTTATTTTAATATCAACGTGTGATCGTGTCTGAATCAATAATATTTTGATTAAAGTTCGGACACTAACCGGAATAAATGGGAAATCAATACATATAACTGACCATTAGTGGTCATTCTCTTTTGACCGGTCGCTGGTACAACATACGAGGTCGCCGACCTTTATCTAACTGTCTAACCTTTATCAGGTTTATGTTTGATCTCAACGGAAAAAGAATGCATGACTGTTATTATTCGTACGACTTCAATAAAATTTGAATTTCAGGAGTTGTTGACTCGTCGTCCTAGGCATCTCATCAGCTATTAATGACAAGTTAAAGGACCTGTCGTACTATCATGTATGTTGAAGTATTTACAACCTAATCTCACATATATCACGGGAATGATCGAACCGTACAGAGACGGAGAGTAGTTAACGCTAAGATATATATACAACATTTTTAACAAAAGTGATTTTCTTATCCAATGAAGAGTAAAATGTAAGCAGACGATACTTGGAATCTTTGTGTAAAAATCGGCGCGGCTGTGAAACAATGACCCTTGATCGATTCACCTACATTTTAAGGTTCAGTAGTTTGCAGGACATTGACATTCGATTTCCGTCATTTATTATGGATTAATGTGCACTAATGTGGCTGTGTTGTATGAAAGGTCGTGGGTATTGAAGGTAATGCTCGGGCGAGCAACATACTTTAAATAGCGTGATTAATATCTGTGCGTGTAAGATGTGTATCTCGTTTATGTAAGCAGTCACGCAGATGCAAATATAATTTCCCCCAAGACCGGAATATCCTCACGGGTCTGGATCAAATCCACAGTGCAACGAATGTTACGTCACAATATCGTCCGTCACTTGACCGACTGTCTCTCCGATTTATGGGGTAGAACTATAATCTATCCCTAGTTTAGGTATGAGGTATAGATAAGGTGACACAAACCCTCGGGATGGACTATCAAGAAAAAACCATCGGGATTAAATATCAAGAAAACCACTTGGGGTAACATATGGAAGAAAACTCGGAGAAAACATCCGATGTTGTTTTTTTCCAGACAAGGAAGCAAATATTCTTTTTCTCTTAACCTGTAGGTCCTGTCACTCGGTAAGCATTGCGTTTGGCAACTTAAGAATGTTCCCCCGAGGGTCCCCATATCGCTCCCAAAACATGAAAGATTTTATCAGTCCACGAAGGATACTTGAGAAATTGTTGTCTCATTTTGAAACAAATGGATTCTGGAATATTTAAATGTTGCATGACGTCACGTCAAATGTGTATTAACGTAACGTCAACATTGCATACAGAGGAATCTTCTCGTCTTGGGGGTAAGATGGAGGACTCTCCTATCTCGGTACAAGATTATTATCATGTTGCCAAACTCTCTGCAAGGCTCGTGTTTGGCATCCAAAATGGGATGAACGATTCCATTAATCTATAACATCTCATGGTCACGCACGTTATAGTCGGGAAAACAATAACGTGACGTCACGGAATCGGGGAAATTCCGATGCCGCAATGCAGACGCTGCCGACATGATGACATTGAAAGCTAAAATAGTTCATTAACCATATAAGCCAGAAAGATGGGGTTTGTTTTGTAGGCAGCTGAGTTTCGTGCCATCGTAATTGTTTGATATGTGCATTCTGCACTGTTTATTTTTCACACACAACTTCTCATTGATTGTAGTGACACTAAGTAAATTTCAAATTGCTGCACTTTTCAACATCTTGCGAAATCCAAGCGTTCCCGGCAAGAGCGGAGCATTTGGATTATATATGTAATCTATAACTCGAAATGGCAAGCAGCATATTTTAATTAAATGCTTCTTGCTCCTTAATCTTAGTTAAAATTGACATAATTTTCCCTATTTTAAATCATGCTGTATCCTGTCATATTTTACACTTTGCTATAGGCCTATTAGCATGTATGTATATACCACTGTTGTAGTGCTGCAACCCTTAATTAGTAGTAATTGTGTAACATACTAGTGTTCATTACTTACACCAAGTTTATACATTTAACTTCAAATATCTACGATTACTTATGTGCTGCATTTGCTTGTCATTTCTTAACTAGCTTTGTAATTAACTGCATGCTGTTTATTCCGTCTTTCTCAAAAAATGGTGACGTTACTCTCACAAACCAATGATGTAAAATACCTGTTCACAAGAGAAGATAACTCTGCAATACGCAAAGACGGAATACATTGTTCATGTTAATTCTTATTTGTATCCAATGTTTGTCGCGAGAATAGCGCTACAGTGCTAATGCATATTGTTTTAAATATGCGACGTGAAGTAAAAAAATCTTGTATCTTGTCTCTTGTAGTCTTCACTTGATTGAAGCCCGATTTCTCCCGATATTATCAGAATCTAATCCGTCATGAAATGAATTTAAGAATGGCGTATTTGCTTTGCTGGGAAACCGTTCCAAAATCATTCTCTCTTACAGATGTTCAAGTCTGTTGTGATTGGCCTCACTGCAAAAGGTATTTAAATTATATAACGATACATATATATGGGGCAAAGAAGTAATTCCAACAGTGTGGACAATTTTAGGTTGTCAAATTTCCGGAGCGAGCCGCTCCTTTTTCAAGACACAGTGAAACAGAACAATTACATGTACATATACATCATATTACAAGAAGATAAAATTGCACGATATATATATATATATATATATATATCAAAACTACACTAGATAACACAGCTTACTATTAGCCAAATCTTACTACGATATATACACGTGTGTTATATATATATATATGGGGCATAATAATAGCTATATTTTCAAATATAGTATAGCAGTTCTATCTTCTTGTAATATGATGCACAAGTACATGTAACTGTTCTGTTTCACTGTGTCTTGATAAAGGAGCGGATCGCTCCGAAATTTTAACAACCTAAGCTTGTCCACACTGTTGGAATTACTTCTTTGCCCCATATACTATTTTAAGTTATCTCTCTGACCTTATACGAACTCTAGACATACCAAGTGAGTACACAACTGTCCGTTATAGCGACCTGTTTTCACCCACGATAAGTTATAGACTTGTAGCGGGGGTCACCTCTCAAATATGCAGACTAGTTTTGTCATACCAATGAACTGATGTAAATGTCCCTGGCATACATGTCCACCATTCTCAGATAAGTTTCCGCTCACTTGTAATGAACCGGTATTTACCATTTTAAGTTTTACAGCCTACTAATTATGAATGTCTCAATTTAGATTTTTAAATGTTTCCCATTTTAACGTTGCCGTCATTGGTTTGGTATCTTGTTTGTTCTTAGTGTTTTTCTGTCTCCATGATAAAACCATTGACTTGAACTGTTGCTTGTTTTACTATCTCCATGGATACATGATTTGATTGGACTGTTGATTGTCTTACTATCTCCATGGTAACATGATTTGATTGGACCGTGATTGTTTAACTATCTCCATGGTAACATGATTTGATTGGACCGTGATTGTTTAACTATCTCCATGGTAACATGATTTGATTGGACCGTGATTGTTTAACTATCTCCATGGTAACATGATTTGATTGGACCGTGATTGTTTAACTATCTCCATGGTAACATGATTTGATTGGACTGTTGATTGTTTTACTATCTCCATGTTAACATGATTTGATTGGACTATTGCTTGTTTTACTATCTCCATGGTTACATGATTTGATTGGACTGTTGATTGTTTTACTATCTCCATGGTAACATGATTTGATTGGACTGTTGATTGTTTTACTATCTCTATGGTTACAGGATTTGATTGGAATGTTGGTTGTTTTACTATATCCATAGTTACATGGTTTGATTGGACTGTTGATTGTTTTACTATCTCCATGGTTACATGATTTGATTGGACTGTTGATTGTTTTACTATCTCCATGTTAGCATGATTGGTTTGGACTGTGGTTGTTTAACCATACAAGATAATTTGATTTTTTGGACTTTGGATCGTTTTGTTATTCCAAGGAATATGCACTGGTCTATTGACCCTAATGTCGTGAGGTTTTTAAGCATGCTCGTACGGTTATTCACGACTTTCTGGTAACGCGAATATTGTAGCAAGTAATTTGACAAAAAGGGCATAGATGTGTACCACTAACGTCAATGATATCATACCTTAAAAATCCATAGAAAATTACATATCACCCTACTTCAGATACAAATGTACCTCAGCCATTTCTTACAGTCATCAGAAACCAGTGCTTCAAAGCTTTTCAATTACAAGCAAACGCTACAATATCTTGATTTAGATGGATAACTCCTCATTCGGTAGTTCATGCTCTACCTCCCCATACAACTATTGTCCTACTGGACATGTAGTAGTAACTGGCAATTTGATTATTATCATAATGCAAAGCTAGGGGAGTTTTTCATGAAGGGCCCTACGTATCGCGAGACTCCAAACATCAACTGGATTGTGAATTTCGAGATACTTATGGATTCTGTAGAGGACTACACCAAAAATTGGCAAACCGAGAGCATGCGGAATAGGTTTCACTGTCAGAGTAAATCCTGAGGGTTCTGAGATTTCTTATAAGTTAAATAGGTTAAGTCCATAATTCCATAAAGAATAAGCTGCTTGAAATCCAAAATGAAAAGAAACCACAATCCTGTATTTCGTGACCTTGATGTCAAAACCACAGTCAACAGGTAGGTATTTATATCCGTAATCTTTGTCTGCAAACATTATTCCATTACCTGCTTGCAAAAGAACTAGGTTTATTACTTGTTAACCAAGAAAACTACCTATACATTTCCCTATATTTTGAAAGTCTTTGTAATACTAGCTTATTACGCTTCAGCATAACAGTCGTTCCGAACACCCATTAATGATAAGGATACGGACCTGTCTCGTTTGCAATGGATTCCGAAATATTCACAAGAATCCTTATAATAATCGTTTTATCATTGGCTTTTCTAGCTGCACATTATCTAAACTTCCTTCCACCATTCCTATTACCGTGGGCACCGTTAAGTCAGGGTCACGGTCGTATTGTGACACCGTATACTCTAGGAGAGGACTTGATGGAGTGTGCATTTTGATGAATTCAAAGGATCTTTTGATCAATTTTGAAGATCCCTACCTCAAAAATGTTTCTTCTATCAGAAAGTTTGACTTTTCGACACTTTACAATGCAGTGCCTCATACCAAACTGAAAGAACGCCTTCATGCTCTTGTTACGAGGGATTTCTTTTCCAAGACAGGCGAGCGGCATTCAAAACATTTGGTTGTAAATTACTTTGGATTTATTTTGTGAAACCTTCAATAAAATCCAAAATGAAATATACTGAGGATGAAGTTGTAAAAATAATTGGCTGACAAGCTATTTGTTGAATACAGTGGCAAGGTTCAAACAGACTGTAGGCATTCCTTTGGGAGCAAACTGTGCTTATCCCTCTCTTGGCCGATTTTCTTTTGTTTTTATATGTCAGGACTTGATACAAAACAAACACATAGCCAGATCCTTCACTTTCATATTCCGCTACGATGTAATCACTCTAAATAAAAAAACAATTCACTGTCATCGTCATATATATAAACTCCATCTCAGCTTGAAATCAAGGACACTACGCATCCTTCTAGTTCAGCATTTTCCTGGATCGTTACTTACAACATGACCAACGAGGACGTTTGACTACTAGATTTTTCGAATTTCCTACGGTGAACTTTCCCTTTCTTGATTGTAATCTCTCTTTTTCCCCCACTTACGATGTTTACATGTCGTAGTTGATTGGGTATTGAAGAGCTTGCTCCAAATATTATGGCTTCCTCGTGATAGATCCAGACTGCTGACGGAACAACTTTGGTTAATGAAAATTATTAACAAAGTTTATGGTCGCTATTATGATCTATAAGGGAAATATGCCATTACTTTGTGTGATATGAAGGTCGACGTTTATAATTATGCTCATAAGTGTGTCATGTTGGTTTGTTTTAACTTCCCCAGTTCTCGATAAGGATGTGAATTTACTTGGATTTGATATAGATTTGATTTACATGGCGGGGGGCGTCTATGAAGCAAAAGACGCTTACCCTTCTTGAACATCTGGTCTTATCATCATTGTATATTTTCAAAGGTCTCCATACAAATCTTTCTTTTACTTGTTTTGCCCTGGTTTCATCAGTTTTAAGTTCAAATTACGGGTTTGCTGTCACTTCGGTATTCTCTTGTGTAATTATTCAGAACCCGCAGACGTTGTACTAAGCGTGCGTTGTTGACCAAGACGCTTCACTCAAATTTAGCTCAATGTCATCAACAGATGGGTTTTATATATTTTACGTGCGTCTTATAGTTTTTGTGATCAAGTATTTTATTACTATAAATGAGTCATAGAAATAAGAATATATTAAAATTAACATCTACACGACTTCAAGCACACGCATACTAATTATAGCTGCCTATCCACCTAAAAAAAGTCCATAAATGATACACATATAATTTATTATGTCTATCATCACATTAATGATAACACCCTCCTCGATTTAAGAAAGAGCGCCAAACAAATGTTGTACACAATAATTGTACACATATATGTCTATCATCATCTTAACGATAAGCATCCTCCTCGAGATTAGACATCCTTGATATCCAGGGTTACGCTCACTTTCGCTCTCTACACCCCTGGAATATGTCGTAGCAAAATTAAAGGCTCAGTGTGCACCACCTTGATGATGAGTCAAGGAGACTAGTTCGATCCTTTGATATACATCAAAAGAATCTCGCAGTCACGTAACGGTAAACATTGACAGGCTTTAAAGTCGGGCGTCTCTCCTTTGTAATCTTCAAAGGACAGGTATCAGCCTAGCGATTGGTCAGGCTTTTTTTGTACCTGAGACCAATCAAACAACTATCTTCGTGCCTTTAATTTTGCTATAACATATTCCAGGGGAGTAGAGAGCGAAAGTGAGCGTAACCCCTAGATATCAAGGATGGAGATTAGAAAGAGCGCCAAACAAATATTGTACACAATCATAATTGGAAAATAAATGAGCTTTCTTCCGAAAGCGAAATTTGATATAGATTCCATTAACTTAACTTCTACTTAGGGTTCAATTGTGATGACGTCAGAGATCACGTGATTCAGTCTTCAGAGTCTGTAACACGAATTCTCATACTTCAACTGGGCGGGAAAAAACCCCGGTTTGGGCAATTGAACCCTAAGAAGAAGTTAAGTTCATTGAATCTATAATTTTTATTTTGTTAAATTATTTTGCCGACTGAAACAATAAAAAGACATATTTGCTATATTTTAATAGACATCTTGTTGCATTACTACAAATCGCGATTTTATATGGCCAGATTTGTTTACTGATTCGATAGCGAGATACGTTGGTATTTTGAGATTACTCGACCCCTTTAGGGAAAGGTCACATGAATCCGATTAGCGACGTTTGCCGAACAGAAGGAAGTGGACACAGGTAGAAAATGTCTCAAGAACAGGTATGTTATATTTTACACTTAATTGAGTGTTAAATGTAAGGAGATATATGTCTGGTTACGTGTCACTGTATAAGTAATATAATATCAGACACGATCTTGGTTTGTGAGAAGTGTGTGACTCATACCAACCTATTGTGTAAATATAATCATGTGATATATATATATAAACTAGTAATATTATGCTTCCTGTCTCTATACTTTTATTGCTCATTTGTGACAGGTGTTGTTAAATGCATTTGATTTAAATTGATAAAAAGTCGTAAAATCCGTTATTTATTTAGCCAAGGTGACGTCACTTTCTGTTTATAAACAAAAAAGATAACAGCAGATGGAATATATAGAACGACCGAGTCGGTGCACGTATAAACATTTTATAACCGTCCGGGTCACCTAATGGTACCCCAGGACCTTATCGGTCTATGACCACTCTCAACCCTTTCACTAGTGGTACCTGAGATCAAAACCTATATCAAATCGGGATATAATTCTTAATTATGTAATTTAGAATTATAAAAATGCACTGTTATAATTACGTCAATGTTTCACTTGCAGTGTTTCGATGGCTTTTCTATCTATCTACAGGACATCTAGTTCATCCTGTAAAAATCCGGTTTGGAAGAAAGTACCTGCTAATTGATTTATTTCCAATGGGAATGGCATCACACCTGTAATCCAGCAAACTTCTTGAAGGTTTTCCCCTGAATTATCGGAAATATCTCGTAAAGACAAAGTCATGCTTGTTATACCAGTCTACCCTCTTGTCCTGGTTGGTATCATTGTTGTGGCGCTATTTTCGTTTGCAATTTGGTTAATGTGCTATGAATCAGTCGTCAATAGAAAGTTGATATCGGCAGCAGCTACCTCAAATAGCTCTTCCCCAAATGGCATTTCTTCTAGAACGCAACGCCTTATAAGGGGTGGAACACGACAGCAAACAACCAGCACGGTTTCAACTAGTAACGCTGGTTTACGGGCCAGTGCTGTAGCTCCCCACAACAATAGAACTGTGCACGGTGACCTCACGTCTACTAACGCTGGTTTACGGGCCAGTGCTAGGAATCTCTACACTAATAGACCTGTACACGGTGACGTCACGTCTACTAACGCTGGTTTACGGGCTAGTGCTGGGACTCCCTACAACAATAGAACTATACACAGTGACGTCACGTCTACTAACGCTGGTTTACGGGCTAGTGCTGGGACTCCCTACAACAACAGAACTGTACACAGTGACGTCACGTCTACTAATGCTGGTGTACGGAACACTCTTGGGACTCCCTATAACACTAGAACTGTGCGCGGTGACGTCACGTCTACTTACGCTAATTTACATAATCTCACGGATAGGAACACCAGAGCTACGCCAGTTAGGTCGACACAACGGAATCATGACACTGGCGAAGACATGTCGAGTAATCCATTGATAGGACAAAATAACTTAGCCTTTGAGAGAGACGAACAACGCCAGGTTCAGGGAGGAGGAGTACTTGGTCTACCCAGTTATAGTGAGGCGGTAAATTCAAGGACAGATCCAGATTTTGATGCCCCTCCAAGATACGAGGATTTAATGGATCCGCCTAATACATCGAAGTAGGATTTATTTACATCAGCGGGGAAGACACAAGGATTTGATTGGTCTCTCTGTTTCGTTTCCTGCAATCTTTGTTCATGTTCAAACCTTCTACGTTTAGCTGCACAGACGAACCACAGATAATTTGAATATTGCATTAACATGGTCTATTTTCAGGAACATAAATGTCAATTAAATTGCACTGTTTATTGTTGCAGGACGCCATACATTTATTTCAGAAGTAAAAAAGTTCCGTTGTAAATGCTCATTCAATTATCAAGATTTAGTATATTTGTCTTTCAATCAATCCCCTTAATATCATAGCAATTCAATAACTCTAAGAAATGTTTATAACAATTAACCTTCTTAAACCTTGAGGGCGAGAGCTAGGGGTATACTAGAATCAGGGTATCTGAGAGTTTGTCAAATCGGGGTTGTTTGCACTAATTCTCTTAAGGATCTTCTCTTGTGAAAAGTCAACATTTTCTTATGACTAACAGGTTAATAAACCATAACTTATTTTACAGAGGAGAAAATGAGAAAAAAAATTATAGTTGAAAGTTTTTTGTAGTCGGTCTAACAAACGAATTTTACATAGTATGTGTTTTCGTTTACCTTTTTGTTTGTTTTCTTTGTTTGTTCATAGATATTTGCACAATTGATATTTGTGGTATTTTTATCTAAAATGTGGAAGACATTTAAAAAAATATATTTTGATTTCAGAAAAGCGATTAAGGTTACCCTTGCCCCTTATTTTTTTGTTAAAAAACAATCAAACATTTGTTTTTCACTTTGTTTTGCTGATTTTAAATTTTTAAAAATGGGGGGTGGGTGGGAGGGGATCCATGTGGTTATTTAATTTTCATAGTATTCATTATTATTATTGTTTGTTGTACTACATCTTCTGCTGGACCAAAACACAAACAAGTTCTGGTTGGCCTAAATAAGCAATAAAATACCAATATTGTAAAATGTTCTCATAACAAGTAACATACATGTATTATTTTCATAATATTGAACATTTCAAATCTGCACAACAAAAATCAATTTGCTTTTATAAAAAAATTGCAGTATAATGCCATGTTAGGTGTTAAAAGTTATAAAAGTTCATTGCGTAGAGTGCAAGAAATGCACGTTATGTAGAATAATAACACTGGGTCCATTGTTGATCTTGTAATCTTGTAAAAAAAAATCAGATGCATGTTTGATCATAAAATTGATAATAACTTATTGAATTTTATGAAAACCAGCCAAGAAAAACTAGGTCAACAAATATTTTTAACGTTATTTAAATATCAGAAGTGTAGTCTCTGAAAGTATTGTATGGATTTCGATAAAACTTATTGCATTATTTTCAGTATGCAATGTCGTTACTTATGAACAATTTATTTGTTATTTATTTGAGTATTGCCATTTTTTGGAGTGTATCAACAGCGGTTTTATATATAGAGAATCTAACATTCGTGTCCATGTCATATTGAATTTATTAAAAAGAGTTAAATACATTCAATATGACATGGACACGTATCGTCGTATGTAAGATTATAGCTTCCCAGTAATATTCATAATTTGAAAGAAAAAAAAGTTCAAGCACACTTATGTGCTATCAACTGACTCTTTATAGGTACATAAAGTACTTCGATCATAGTATTGTCGTTACGCGCAGTGCAAAGTAGGTCCAGATTGTATTTTGATAATGAACAGTTTGAAATGAAATGAAAATAAAATGACAAATTCATTCAATAGCAAAAACTTTAAATCAGAAAAAATGCAGTTAACTATAAGTAGTAACTGTAGCGGCGTAGGATATGCTCCCACGATTTTGACGTATTACCATATTCATGACATGGCCGTATGACATAGTAAAATGGGTCAGTTATGTGATAAAAAAAGAATTGTGCACATTATGTGTGACATTACCAGTAAAGAAATTTGGGTGATTCCTAATAATTATAATTGAAAGGCTAATGGTGTTTATACAATATTTATTAAATTACTGTTAAAAAAAAACTAATTTTGCACATGCATTTCTCAGCGTAGTTTTGTGTTTGTATTATTCAACGGCCCATCGACATTGTTAGTGTTTTAGGGCCAATTTAGCGTAGATTTATTCAACCGATCAAAATAGAGCATTTATAAAAACAAAATCCACCATTTTTGTTTCTGAGGATATTGCATATAACATAAAAATCCTGCATATAATAGGCGTTATCATCTAATCATAAAGTACTCTCCTGGGGTATTCTCATATACTTATATACCTATTTATCGTGATTGATCCTAGACTTGTCTGATATTAAATAACTATAAGGGGAAAAAACACTAATTTTGTGTTGAAATGGATATTTGATAAAATTTGGAATCAAAAATATGATCGACTCTGGTAAGTATTAGCGGGTTTCAGATTGTGCTATATAAACTCTACCCAACTAAAACAGTTAATACGGTTTTCTTCATTGAAGTACGTAAGGAATTGTCCAAGTCGTAGAGCCATACGAATACTGTAAACTTTGTGTTTTTGTGTATAAAGTATTCAATCGCAATTTCACATTGAGGTAACGGGTACCAACTGGTTAAACAATGATATTACCATTGTAACTTTTGTGAAGTAATTGTTCAGATCTTTTTCAAAAGAAATATTCCATAAAAACCACATTTTACGATGCATTTTACAGAGTGTTAACTGTTCGAAATTCAAATGTTTAAAAATAAAATTAAAAAAAATATGAAAACACAAAAACTGCAGGAGTTGAACTCGGTACCTTTATATTTCAAAAAAAATGATAATTTGATAGGGAGTAACTCTAAGCAACAAAAAAAACCTTTCATTGCTTCATCTTCTATTTAGAAAGGAGAACACCCCAAGTCGAAAAATCTCTAAGACGGACTCTTCTTCGCGATTACAACTGACGGACGGTACCCTTTACCATAATCAAAATAATTTGATCTTCTCTTCAATTGATCTGTGTAAATTATAAGAATTGAAATAAAAAATCAAATCTAACCATGCAATTAGCTTTTATTTGCTTATTGACGAGAAACGGGATAAGAAAATGGAGAAAGGAAATCAACAGTGTGCATGCAAAGTGTATAATTAAACTTTGTCATCATTCTCAGTTCAGTGATGACAAGGTTTTCAAATTTACGAACAGATTATGCAGCAAAGATGGAAACAAATAACCATTAATCCTGAGGATATGACATACAATCGAATTAGTTATTTTGCTTGAAGAACAAAGCAGTAGACCCTACATTGTTCTAACATATCGGTAGAGAAATTTGTATTACCTTGTAAATTAACCCGCTGTACACAAGGTGGTGGTATATATATGTCTAACATGTGAAAATAGAGTGTTTGGAATGAAATTTGGATTAGCTTTTCTGAGGATTTTATTCCATTCCGACTGAACAAGTAGTAACAGGCGGTCTAGATGTTATCCATAATACAAAGCTACTAGAGAACTTTTTATGAAGGGTCCGAAGTGTCGAGAGACTCCTGTTATTAATTAGATAATGGTTGATTCTGTGGACGACTACACCAGACAATGGGCAAAACGAGAGCATGCTGAAATGAATTCACTTTCAGAGTGGGCCAAAATCATTAGATGTTCGGAATCTAAAATGAGAACAAATCCCAAGGCTGTATCTATTGACTCCGGTGTCCAAACAACACTCAACGAAATGCATCAGAGGTAAGTTATTGTGTCTGCAGAAAAAGTATCTAGTAACTTGATCTTTGTCTGCAAACACATTTTATTGCCTGCTAGCAAAAACAAATATGCTAGACTGATAACGAAGAAAAAATCTACAACATGGTTTCCAATGTTCAAAGCACGAAATCCTAGCTTATCTCATTTCTATATCACAATCTTTCCGAATACCCATTAATGATAAGGATACGGTTCTGCTTTGTTTGCAATGGATTCAGAAACGTAACAAGGGTTAGCATCAACAACACTCTCTTCGTTGCTCAACCAAGCAATTATTCGAACTGCCATTTCCAATTACCATTAAATCATCGTTTTGTGACACTGTATACCCCAACAATGAAATAAATGGAAAGTAGATTTTGAAGAATTGTTTTGCTCAATAGTGAACATCCACTTTTCAAATATGCCTGTTGTATCAAAATTCTTGACTGTTCAACTCTGTACACTACCTGCCTCATACCAAACTTAAAGAACTGAAAGAACGCCTTCGTTCTCTGTTTACGAGAGCTAATTTCCCTAAAAGTTGAATAGCGATATCAATACTGTATTTTACATTGGAGCATATTTTTTTGAAAAGCGTATCAAAGGCCAAAATGAAATATACTGATGGTGAAAGTGTGATAATGATTGAGTTCCTGGTTGACCATATCTTTGTTGAGTTTGGGGGCAATATTTTCCGGCAGAGTGAATTTAACGTCCCTGCTTCCACGTGCAACTGTGTTTACATACCGCAACTGATTCGGTATTCAAGACGTTGCTCCTAATATCGTGACTTGATATATGTCGACTGCTGACGGACAAACTTACACCACAGAGTTTCCAAAGATGGAGGTTTATGAAGACTCTGGACAAGCTTTATGGTCGCCACCATGATCTCATAAGGGAATATGCTATCTCTTTATGTGATATGAAGGCCGATTTTGATTATGCTAATTATTGTTTCTTGTGGTTTCGGTGTCACTGTCAAAGTTCTCGATAAGAGGACGTGACAAAATAATTACCTGGCGGGTGTTGTCAATTCCATAGTTTTATCGAATTTGAGTTTAAATATAATTTTGTCGACACTTATTATGTATTATTTTGTTCTATTTTTATAATCACCTTAATGATCTGCCTTGGAAAGATGCTATTTGTATGATCGACCATTAGTGTACCTTGTTATTGTTGTCACTACCCCAGTTCTCACAACGAGAACGTGACATTTCCAGGATTTTACCTAGGTTTTGCGGTTGTCGTCGATAGAGCAGAAGGCACTTACTGGGCTGTCCTGATTGTGATGGGCTTACAAATAGAAGAATACTTGATGATGTGCATATTTTTATTGGAAAATCCCGTCGTTTTAATTTCTATATGACTTAAAGCCATGATGGTATACAAAAATATACTATATATTCTATATTTCATCCAGGAGATTCTAGTTGAGCATGACTACTGTCTATTGCGTGTACTTATCATGACATTGTAAATAATTACACTTTATATGTATTAAATGAATTTATTATTTTAATTGTAACAGTTGTTGGTAGCAGTGACCTGTGCAATATATGCACATGGACTTTTGGTCTAAGCCTGCCAATATCTGTCTATGATAGTGTATATATATGCTGAAATAAATGTATTTGTACATGTACTTGTATGTGTGTGTAAGTGTGTGTGTGAGATGTTTCCTTCATGAGTTACTTCCCCTTAGCCTTGTGTTATTATGAATTATTTTGTGTTATTTTTTTCATTTGCAACATGTCTAAAATATTATGTCTCCTTGTTTATTCAACTTTGGCCATTTGACGGAGAGAATTTATATAGGCTTTGCCTGTTATTCAATCCAATTGATTATGACATCTTGTCAATAAAATTTGATGAAATGAA